TAGGACCGTCCCAACTACAGCGGAAAAATCAGCGCAACCGCCGTGACCACTGTGACACCAGACGAGCGTTCTTTGCGTGACCTGATACGCGAAATTGTGCAAGAAGAGGTGAAGAAGCTCGCCGCCACAACTAATGACTGCGCAATTGCGGGGGTCACAGAAATTGTTCGCCAAGAAATAAGGCAAGCGCTTTCACTTCCCGAGCCGAACACTGTAATAGTTAGGCCAACATATGCAGATATTCTCCGTCGACAGCCTAGATCTAACGTGCCGCCACCTCAGCAGTACCACCAGCAACAGCCGCCAACGGTGTCTTGGTACTACAGGAAAAACGTCGGCGCCGATGCGACCCCCACTCCGCAAAACCGACATATGGCGTACCCCTGACTACAGGCCCCTGTGCTTCCATTGTGGGGAAGCCGGCCACATCGTGCGGTATTGTTTTCATCGCGTTGCCGGGTATCAAGGATTTCTGTCCACTACCCCTCGGCGCTATTTCGATGGAATATGCAACGTTGAAACGAGCACGACGATCCCGCGGGACGTTTCTCCTGGGTTCCGGTCACGCTCGCCCTCCCCAGGTCATTTTTCTCAATGTAATAGAAGTAGACTACGGACATGGCGAGAGGAAGATCTCCCAGTCCTCGCCAGGGAAACTAAAAGCAGCGACCTTAGGGGGGGAAGGTTGCGAATTGCCGAAGATTTGAAAATCCGCCATTACCACCACACGAAGTGGCGCACATTTCGAATGAACCAACGAAAGACGAGATTGTCACCGCCGACATTACACTTTCAAGTGACGGTCACGACGTGACCGCACTTGTCGACACTGGTGCGGACTTTTCAATAATGAGTGCGAATCTGGCCGACAAACTCAAGAAGGTAAAAATGGAATGAACGGGGCCGCAAATTAGAGGAGCCGGAAGTGAGCTGCTGACGCCTACCGGAAAGTGCATCGCACGAATCAAGATCGGGGATTCATCATTCGTGGCAACCTTCGTTATTATTTCTGAGTGTTGTAAACAGGCCATTTTGGGTATGAATTTCTTGCGGGAGTACGGTGACATCATAAATATACCGGATAGTGTACTGACCTTCTCAGCGGACCATAGCGCAGCGCTGCAGCACAAGCCCATGCGCGTGATTGACGACGTGACCATGCCACCGTTGTCGTGCCGCCTCGTCTCTGTCACGTGTAACACGCAGCATACTGGAGAAGGTGTCGCGGAACAAATATCGACGCTTTTACTCTCTCGAGGAATCGCTATTGCCAGAAGTCTCGTTAGTGTAGTGTCTGGGCAAGCAGAGGTCCTGTTGACAAACTTCAGCAACGAGCGTCGACACATTACAGAGGGTACCACAGTTGCATACTTCGAAGAAATTGTAGGATTCAGCGTGTGCTTCGCAGTACAACAGGCAGAGACGCCGGCTGCTTCAACATGACTGCCTGTCGACGTGAGCACAGATTTATCGCCAGCGCAGAGGCAGACTAGATATTCTCGGCCAGTTTGAAGATTGTGTTTCGTCGACCTCGAGGGTAAATAAAACGCCACTGACGAAGCACCGAATTATAACGGAAGAGACGTCAAGACCAGTTCTACAAAACCCATACCGCGTGGCACAGAAAGAACGCGAAGCAATTCAAGAACAAGTCCAGAAAATGCTCAATGATGACATCATTCAGCCGTCAAAAAGCCCTTGGGCATCACCGGTAGTGCTAGTTAAGAAGAAAGACGGCAGATTACGCTTCTGTGTGGACTACCGCATGCTGAACCGCGTGACAAAGAAAGGCGTATACCCACTACCGCATATTGACGATTCACTCGACAGGCTGAGGCATGCACGCTTCTTCTCGTCAATGGACCTGAAAAGCCGTTATTGGCAAATCGAGGTCGATGAGCGGGACAGAGAAAAGACTGCTTTTGTTACGCCTGATGGGCTTTACAAGTTTAAAGTCTTGCCCTTCAGATTGTGTCCAGCCCCAGCAACATTTCAGAGACGGAGGGAAACCGTCCTATCAGGCCTTAAGTGGCAGACGTGTCTGGTATACCTCGACGACGTCATTGTTTTCTCACCAACATTGGAGGAACATCTAAGACGGCTGCTATTAGTATTTCGAGCAATACGGTTTGCTGGTTTATCGCTGCAACCTGAGAAATGTCATTTCGGCTTAAAGGAACTCCGATTCGTAGGACAAGTGGCGAGCCATAAAGGTGTTCGTCCGGACCCCGACAAGATCGACGCCGTCCGAAAATTTCCAGTGCCAACAGAAAAGAAGGCCGTAAGACGTTTTCTTTGCCTTTGCGCCTACTACCACAGGTTTATCGCCAATTTTTCGCACATAGCGTCGCCCTTAACACGCATAACGAGAGCTGATGTTCCAATTTTATGGGGCGAAGAGGAGCCAGCAGCATTTGACGGTCTACGACTGCACCTGCAGACACCACCTGTGATTGCTCACTTTGTCAAGGACGCTTCAACCATGATCGACACTGATGCCAGCAACGTAGGTTTAGGCGCTGTACTCGTCCAGTGGGAAGACTCAGCCGAGAGAGTGATTGCATATGCAAGTAGGACGCATTCCCGTGCCGAGTCCCATTATTCCACAACGGAAAAGGAATGTCTCGCTGTAGTATGGGCAGTTCTGAAATTTCGCCCATACCTCTACGGCCGTCCCTTTCACGTAGTCAGCGACAAACTTCAGCAACCTTATAATGCACCCAAGATTGGGTGCATTATAAGGTATCATTACTTTTTTAGGCGTTTGCACAAATTATACCTAATCACAGAAACAGTAGCGCTGGTGTCCACCAAAGCGTCCACGAGAACTCCTTCCACCATAACAGAAACCATGTGTAATGCGCGTGTTGGAGGAATATCAATCCTACTGTTAAATGCAGTTTCTCCTCCGAAAACTGCATCATTATTTTTCCGACCAGTTTTCTGTCGTAAACGGGGCTGGCTGAAGAGGAGAGGAGGAGTGAAGAAAGGGCGAAGGTGATCGGCGTCGGCTTGAACGGTAAGTGTTCTACGTCTCAGTCGACGTGGGCGGAGATGGAGACCATTGCTGTCGAGATGATTAACGCCGGGCGTAAGATTCTCCACTGGAAAAGTCCTCTTTGCGCATGTCGTACCCGCTACGCTCGTCCTGTTGGCGTTTGCGGCAGAAGCCCGATATATGGCCGCTATATTCACAGTAAAAAACATGTTGGGCGAGACGGGCGCCAACGGGGGTAAAAGAGGGCGTTTGGCGTACCGGGAGATAGCGCACTCAAGTGGACAGACGGAGAGTCGGGTGGCATTGGCCGGAAGTGGTCGGTGATGCAGCAGCAACCGACGTGTACGATGCCAGCGGCGAAGTAGAGTTTACGTTGCGAGGAGGCGCAGCCGCAACTTGCACCTACGTTGGAGGGTTAGACGGAGGTGGCTGTACGTAGGCGGACCGGTGATGATGTTAGTCCCTCCCTTACGATGTCACGCAAGGCCATGCTTGAAGGCTGTGTGACAGATGGAGAAGGTGGTGAGATGCGCATTGATTAGAGTTCTTCGCGTATGATCTCCCGTATCATGTCACGCAGGTCATGGTCTGCTGTACGGTGTTCACTATTGCCCGACTGAAGGCGAACAGAATCAAGTTCATCGAGACGCTGACACGTAGAGACGACGTAAGCGACAGTAGAAGGATTCTGGGCAACAAGGGCATTGTAGGCAGTGCTTCCGATGCCCTACAGGATGTGACGCAGTTTGTCCGACTCGGACATCGAAGAATTGACGCGCCGGCAAAGCGCAAGGACATCCTCGATGTAAGATGTGTATGACTCGCCGGGATGTTGTTGGCGAGTATATAGGGTCCTCCTCGCTAGAGCGGATCGAACGGTTGGCGTGCGGATACTTGGTGAAGTTTCTGCTTGAAGGCAGGCCAGTCGGTGAGGTCGATCACATGGTTAAAGAACCATGTCTTGGCAACGCCCATGAGATAAAGCGATACTCGGCGGAGCTTGTTAGAGTCGTCCCAGTGATTAGTTGCGCTTACTCGCTCGTAGTTATCGAGCCAGTCCTCCACATCTTCGCCGCGGAGACCAGCGAAGATCGGAGGGTCACGCTGGTGGTTTACGATGTAAAGAGGAGGGGCTTGCGGTGCAGGGACGGGAGCAGAAGGGCATCCACCCACTCACTGTGAGACATGTTGGCGGACTCAGGGTCCAAGCGACGGCCTGAACGGAGCTCCAGCGAGTAGGCGTTGCGAGGAGAGGTACTGGGATCGTCAATCCACCTCCACCACGTATGACGACTCGGTTGTAACGAAGTTTATTGGCCGTGAACTCGGGAACGAACAAGCGCAACGGACCTGAAGATAAAGCGCACGTTCAAAGACGATGATGATTGTCCGCCAGAACAGGTGATGCTTATTGACTGCTGTTCAGATGACGATGAAGCGCATAAGAGATGCCTACAATATATATATATATATATATATATATATATATATTATATATATATATATATATATATATATATATATATATATATATATATATACAGTGATTGACGACGCTCACAAACGTCGACTCCGGCGGCACAATCTAAGCAAGGGTGTCCATATATTTCCTATCACAATAACAAATATGGGGTAGTTGGTGCTTAGCAAGTGTGCTTGTAGTAAGCATTCAATGATACTTTGAAACGACCAATGCCACATGCACAATTATTAGGGTCCTTCCTGCACGGCTGAGGCATGCACCGAGAACGAAGGCAGCTAGGTGTTAGCAGTTCAGAAGGCTACGCGCACGGAGCCCGATTACGCTATCGTGATGTTTTCTTGAAGGAGAAGCTCAAGTGTTCTCAAGTATTGGTAGTTTTCATGCACCGCAGTGTTCCATGCACCTCAAGTAAATACTCTAATGAGCGTTTGCAATCGAAATATGAAACGTTTCTATTTCTGGCTGAATCAGTAAAATGGGTTTGAATGTACATATGCATCGTGAATTCTTCTTCAACAGATCATCCAAGGTGCCCCGAGGCGGAGGAACAAAAGTGCATAGCGAAAAATAACTATTTAGGCTGCCTCAGTAAAGGTTCTCATGAAATCGTCAGGGTGTGCCGTAAGTATCGTTTGTTGTGCATGTACAAATAAAATGAAAGTTAATACGCCATAGGGAATAACTTGCTGACGACATACAAAACCAAGTTGTAAAATGAACAACAGTTCCTCATTCAACCGCAAGGCGAAACAATTAAAGGTACCATTGCCAACATGTCTATATAACTACATTTTTATACTTACGTCAGCTTTCTCACTGAATGAGACAAGTATTCTGCAAAACATTAGCTGTTAAACAAGCACAGATATCTCGACATGACTTTGAACGCTCGCTCACTGTTGCAATAAAATTCAAGGAATGAGGCAGGTGAACTCTCCGTTTTTTTCACAATTTGAGAGGAATTGTGCGAAAGGAGATAAACCTCCAGAAATTCGATAACGTAAATTGGCACCAAATGTGGCACCAAGCCTGATTGGTGATTTTGGTCCAGTTAAAAAGCCTCAGCTGGTAGAAATTTCCGAGGCCCTCTATTACGGCGTCTCTCGTAATCATATGATGGTTTAGTGACTTTAACGCAGATATTATTCAATAAGAGCTGGATAAATTACGAATATATTTTTCCGCCAAAGGGCAGTTTCACTGTTTTTGTTTCTGGTTTTAAGAAAGGCTGCATATAGGTCGCACTAGAAAATATGCGTTGATGAATTCAAATGGGTGACCAGTGAGCCAGCGCTCATTCTCGTCACGGAAAAATAACTCCCATGGTAAACTTCAAGCATCAGAATCTCTACATACACTAACTATTTGCAGGAGTGTCAAATTCGGATTAAGGTAGCCGAGGAGAATCACAGTGGTGGCGTGTTTTTGAAGGGGCAGCCAAATTCATTACTCTTCTGAGGCAGTGTTCACTTATTTGTGCTGTTGCGGTGCACTTTCAGTAAACGACACATCTTACAGATGAAGATATTGTTTCGCGTCCTGTGCAATAGCTAGATCTCGGCGTCAAAAGGAAAGAGAACATGTATGCATTTAATTCCCCTATTAAGGAGCAGTATGTAGAAGTGTTGGAAAGCACGGCAGTGTCATTGGAACTGTGGTCGTCTTGAGCATCTGCCGAAAAACAATCATTACTTTGTCTAAAAATTGGTGTAAAATTGTCAAAAAACTGCCACGAGAGTGGAGAGCATCTTCAAAAAAAAGTAGAGCGTTCATTATCGACAGTCTCACCTCAGGGAAGAAGCAATTATTGATACAGGAACAAATTTATTTCAATTGATAAGCAGCTAGATATTTAAAGTGCTCACTCCTAGCAGAAAGGACGCACGAAATGAGCACACACAGGATGAGTGTGGCCATTGCCACAGCTTGACACTCGAAGCGCGTTGTTCAAGCCCAAAGAAAGGTGCCACGCAACTGGCGCACAAGTACATTGTTATAACATAAGTACTGGGCGCCAAGCTCATCACTAAAGGTGCTGGCGCTGCAATCGCTAAGAGGTGCAGGGTGCGATCACGTAATATCACCTTGCTCTTGTGGAGGAAAGCTGGTGGTTGGATGCGTTGTTTTTTCACCGCAACTTCACAGTGTTCTATCTTTTTGAAAAGTGTTTTATATGCGATGCAGCTCTTTGACTAACCTTTGTAGCGATGTCTCTCCGTCCGCATTACGATCCCCTGGCCGCAGGTGTTGGGGCGGTGCCAAATAGGACATGCATTCCCTCGCAGTGCGCGTGCATCGACGTCACTATCTCCCTAGTGAGTCGCAGTTCGGCCAACACCCCCTAGGTTCCTAAGGCATTTCCGATGGTTACGTGACGTCACCCTGTGGGCCCATGCGGGCGCGGTGTTTTGGTATTTCGGAGCGTTGCGCTCACCTTTATTGGTGTTGTAATAGTCTGGGGTGGATGCAAAATACTATTTCTTTTATTTGAGAAAGTTTCTCGGGCACAATTGAAGCATTCTGCATGTAGTTTCACTTTCGTTAGAAGGAACCATACGACGCAAGTTGTATGCTTTATTCTGTGAAAACATTACTTTCTCTTTGTTGATGATTACCGTGCTGCGACCTTTTTCTGCCCATCATCTTAGATGCTGTCATTTTTCAAGCTGCATATGTTGTTTAAGACAATATTGGTTGCTGAGCGAAATACCAAGCGCAAGACAGTTTGTGCAGTGTGGCCATTATCACATGCAATAATGTCGGTCTCTGGTTCCCGCCAAGAAAATGCCAGTGAAGCGGCGATATTGCGTTGCTCACTGTATGAGAGAAAGTCGTTGACGATTTTTGCCAATGACAGTTTCTGCACAGCTACATCTGTTACGAGAACCATGTCACAGCGCTACCCATAGGAAGCGATCGAAGTAGCACTCCGTTAAAAAGAACAGAAAGTGAGAGATCTGGCAGAAAAGACCATAAGCATTTAACGTAAGGAGGATCATTTTCGATGACAAGAAACCTTACGCACTTGTCACGGATAGTTACTGCCTACAAGTTATTATTGCAGATTCCTGACAACTTCGTCTTGAAGTCCGTATACGAAGACACCTTGTTTCCTTTCTAGTCAAGTTCTGTAGACTCAAGTGATTTGTTTATAGCTTCTTGCAAAGCAGCGTTCTCCCTTCTAGCGATCTTCCTTGCTGGCAAACCACGACGTGGTGGCATTGAGGACAAGTATTTTGGAACTGCATTAAGGACAAGTGTTGATGGAACTGCATTAAGAGGCCTGGGGTGCGGCCTCTTCGGTAACGACCGCCGGGAACGCACTCCCTCACCAGAGAAGGATTGGCCACCCTGGTGCAGTATCTGGCCACTACCTCCCACATGCATACGTCAAATAACTCACGGCCCTCAGTTCCCAGCAGCTGCGAAGCAACTCACCATGGCGGCGGTCAGATCTGCAACGCAGCAGAGGGTGCTAAGAATCTCTGGACTACAGGCCGCCTTTGGAACCTGAACTTGGCAACGTTTAACGCTAGAACCTTATCTAGTGAGGGAAGTCTAGCTGTACTATTCGAGGAGCTACAGGGCGTTAAATGGGATATAGTAGGGCTCAGTGAGGTTCGGAGGACAGATGAGGCCTATACTGTGCTACAGAATGGGCACGTCCTTTGCGATCAGGGCTTGGCAGACAGGAGAGAACTAGAGTGGGGTTTCTAATTCACAGAAACATAGCTGGCAACATAGAGGAATACAATAGCATTAATGAAAGGGTGGTAGGTATTGTAATTAAACTGAATAAAAGATACAAGATGAAGGTAGTACAGGCTTACGCGCCTACATCCAGTCATGATGACAATTCAGTTCAAAGCTTCTATGAAGACGTGGAATCTGCAATGAGTAAGGTAAAAACACAGTACAAAATAGAACTGGCAGAGCTTTTGAAGTTGATTAATAGGCGTAAAGTATGCGATGTAAGAAGGTATAACATGGAGAGAATTGAACACGCTCTGAAAAACGGAGGAAGCTTCAAAGCAGTGAAGAGGAAACTTGGGATAGGCAAAAGTCGGATGTATGCACTAAGGGACAAAGAAGGCAAAATAACTACCAATATGGATAAGATAGTCAGAATAGCGGAGGAGTTTTACAGAAATCTGTAGAGTAGCCGATACAACCACGACCTTAATACGATAAGAACTAGCAGTAACCCAGATGACACCCCACCAGTAATGATCGAAGAAGTCAGAAAAGCTTTGGAGAGCATGCAAAAAGGCAAACCTGCTGGTGAGGATCAGGTAACATGAGATCTGCTGAAAGATGGAGGAAAGATTGTGTTAGAAAAACTAGCCACCCTGTTTACGAGGTGTCTCCTGACGGGAAGGGTACCAGAGTCTTGGAAGAACGCTAACATCATCTTAATACATAAGAAAGGAGATGACAAGGACTTGAATTACAGGCCGATCATCTTGCTCTCTGTAGTGTACAAGCTATTTACAAAGGTAATTGCTAACAGAGTAAAGAAAACATTGGAATTCAATCAACCAAAGGAACAAGCAGGATTTCGTACAGGCTACTCAGCAATGACCACATTCATACTATCAATCAGGTAATAGAGAAATGCTCAGAGTATAACCAACCACTATACAAAGCCTTCATAGATTACGAGAAGGCGTTTAATTCAGTAGAAATATCAGCCGTCATGCAGACACTGCGGAATCAGGGCGTAGATGAAGTATATATAAACATTCTGGAAGAAATCTACAGGGGATCAACTGCTACCATAGTGCTTCATAAAGAAAGCAACAGAATACCAATCAAGAAGGGTGTAAGGCAGGAGGACACAATCTCCCCAATGCTATTCACCGCTTGCTTACAGGAGGTTTTCAGAAGCCTAGAATGGGAACAGTCAGGGATAAGAGTTAATGGAGAATACCTTAGTAACCTGCGCTTCGCCGATGACATTGCATTGCTGAGTAACTCAGGGGACGAATCGCAACTTATGATTACGGAGTTAGACAAGGAGAAGAGAAAGGTGGGTCTTAAAATTAATCTGCAGAAAAGAAAGTAATGTACAACAACCTCGGAAAGAAGCAGTGCTTCGAGATAGGTAATAGCACACTTGAAGTTGTAAAAGAGTATGTCTACTTAGGGCAGGTAATAACCGCAGAGCCTAACCACGAGATTGAAGTAACCAGAAGAATAAAAATAGGGTGGAGTACATTTGGCAAGCACTCTCAAAATATGACAGGTATATTGCCACTATCCCTCAAGAGGAAGGTATATAACAGCTGTATCTTGCCGGTACTTAGCTACGGAGCAGAAACCTGGAGACTTACAAAGAGGGTTCAGCTTAAATTGAAGACGACGAAGCGAGCAATAGAAAGAAAAATGGTAGGTGTAACCTTAAGAGACAAGAAGAGAGCAGAGTAGATAAGGGGACAAACGGGGGTTAAGGATATCATAGTTGAAATAAAAAAGAGGAAATGGACATGGGCCGGGCATGTAGCGCGTAGGCAGGATAACCGCTGGTCATTAAGGGTAACTAACTGGATTCCGAGAGAAGGGAAGCGGGTTAGGGGGAGACAGAAGGTTAGGTGGGCAGACGAGATTAAGAAGTTTGCGGG